TTCTCAAGACTTTCACTATCAAAGTTGTATTTAAAAAACCTTATAACAGTAAAAAAAAGCTTTTGACAAAAAATTCCCCCCCCCAAAATCCTGACGGGTGTGTCTATAAGATATATTGTAAAATATGTGATAAAGTTTAATACGGTCAAACTGGTAAAAGTCTTGAACTAAGATTAAAACAATATAAATACAGCATTAGAAGTGGGCTAGATCCTAATACTCTGTTTATTCACACATGTATGCATACACATAAAAATACATACAAAAATACAACTGTACCCGTATACATATGCTCCCATATAAGTATACACACTTATGCATGCACAAAAAGTGGACAAACACACATACATATATACACGTACATACACAAACGTGCATATGTACACATACACACATATATTCATATTTTGTCACATTAGAATTTTATGACCGCTCTGTGCTATTCCTTTTGCATACATTTGGGTGGCGGGGAAGGGCTTGCTAATGGAATAAAGAGAAAACCTCTCCCGGGATTGCGCTGCTACCAAAGTGCATCCAGTTGGGCATCAGGTGTAGACACTGCTATTATTTTGGTATCTATGTTGACAAGACTGTCAAGTTCGTCTCTTGTGAACTCTGCCGTATTTTGTGTCGTTGTTATTACTGGACACAGAGAGGGTCATAGCCTCACAGTGGTTAGTGTGGATTAAAAGTTCATCAGTATACACGTAATACAAGTCCGGAGTAGGACTGTGCTTTTCTTTTATTAGAGGAACTGTCATGAGCTTATTATTAGTCAAGTGTGGGATTCCGAATTATGTGAGATAGGTAAGTACATAATTTACTTAAGAAGAAGCCTATTGTATAGGCAAAACGTTTCAGAATAAAGATACCTAACTGTTGCTTATCATCCATGTCCTTAACGAAATATGCTGAGAAGATATTTTAAACAACATGGATCCGAACCAGTGCCTAGCAAGGATCAACTCTGTGGCATCTGAAGTATGCTTAAGGTACATGTCCCTAAGGAAAAAGAAAAGATGTCAACTAGAAAGAGATGCTCCCTTTACCGGCAAAGGCGAAGAATCAGAAAACTTAAAATGGCCAGTCTATCTGGAATACAAAAGGAGTCACTGGCTAGAGAAATAGAAAATATCGAACTTTACTTCAATGAATCACGCAGTGTCCAGGAGAGACAAAGAACTTGAAGCAATAAATGAAATTGACATTATTATTATAATCAAAAAGAAGCGCTAAGCCACAAGGGCTAATGAAATTGAAAGAAATGTAAAATACTTATTTTGTTATACAAGATGTAGGGTAAAAACCACATCCGGCATTGGGCCTTTTGCTTGGATGAAATGAGACTTACACCAAAGTAATGAGTGAGACACTGAAATGCCAATACGATTTTGTGTTTAGTGAACCGTTAATCAGATTAAGCATCGACAATCTGAACAATTTTTTTTTTATGAAGGAGACTCAAATTTTTCTTAATATTTCCATAACTACTGATATAACCGTAATACCAATGGACTTTGAAAAAGAAACTGTCGACATATCAATGCATTCTGCCTCAGTCTCGAACTCGTGGAACTCTGTGTTCATCAAGACCTGCAAGAAACCCCTTTTGCGTACCTAAAATATTCTATGGAGAGGGAGCCTAGACAGAGGGGTCATCCCACAATTAGTAAAAACAACAGATATAGCCCCACTCCACAAAGGTGGCAGAAACGCAATAACAAAGAATTATAGAGTGATAGCATTAACATCCCACATCACAAAAATCTTTGAAAAGGTTCTAAGAAGCAAGATCTCTAACTACCTGGATACCCAACAAGTGCACAATCCAGGCCAGCATTGGTTTAGAGCAGGTCGCTCCTGCCTCTCACAACTACTGGACTATTATATGGTCTTAGATGCACTGGAGGACAAACAGAATGCAGATGTAGTATACACAGTCACTGCAGAAGCTTTTGGCAAGTGCGATCATAGTGTAATAGTACACAAAATGTATGTGGCAAGATGGATTATTAACTTCCTAACCAAAAGAACACAAAGAATAATAGTAAACAGAGTAAAGTCAGAGGCGGTTACAGTGAAAAGCTCTGTTCTACAAGGTAAAGTATTCGTTCCTGTGCTTTTCCTCATCCTAATATTTGATATAGGCAGAAATGTAAAGAATAGGACTTTGTCTTCCTTTGATGACGATACTTGAACTTGCACGAGTGTCATCCATTGAGTATACTGCAAATCTCCAGGTAGAAATTTAAACCAAGCTTTCCAATGGGCGAGAGAAAAAATGAAGTTCATTTAGGACAAATTTTAATTACTCTGGTATGGAAAATTTAAGGAGTATAAAATAAATTCCAATCACACAATAGAGCGGAAAACTAATGTGAAAGATTTAGGGGTGATAATGTCAGAGGATATCACTTTCAAATATCACAACAATATCATTATCACATCTGCTAGGAAAAAGAGAGGATGGATACTGAGAACCTGCTGAACAAGGGAAGCCAAGCCAATGATGATCCTCTTAAGTCACCTATTCTCTTTAGGTTGGAATACTGCTGAACACTTATGACCCTTTTCAAGGCAGAATATGAGGAGAATTTTCACTGCATGTATAAGTACAGTCAGGCAGCTTCATCATCTCTGAAATCTTAGCAAGAATTCTCTCAAAACAATAAACCCTGCCATCACATAGTCACTGCTGCTGATGCTATATAAGAACATTAAAATAGGAGGAACACTGAAACAGGCCGCCTCAAATTCAACCATAAATATATGCCCAACCTTTTCTTGTGCTACCCAAGCAATAAGATTTAATAACCTTTTTACCCATGTACAAGTCGACTTTCTCTACCACATGTATTATTATTACTACTACTACTACACCTCACTCTAAGTCTATATATACTCTCCGTGTCCGTCTACTGTTTGTAACGGCTTGATAAAGCTCCTGGAGAGCGAAACGTTGCCACAACAGAATGTCACATTAGTTGTACATATTGTTGGTAATTCTATCAATGTTACTATAGTGGTGACTATTATCATAGTGGTGGCTACTGTTATCATAGTAGTGGCTACTGTTATCATAGTAGTGGCTGTTATCATAGTGGTGGCTACTGTTATCATAGTAGTGGCTACTGTTATCATAGTGGCTACTGTTATCATAGTGGTGGCTACTTTTTTCATAGTGATGGATACTGTTATCATAGTGGTGTCTTCTGTTATCATAGTGGTGGATATTGTTGTCATGGTGGCTACTGTTATCATACTGGTGGGTGGCTACTGTTATCATACTGGTGGCTACTGTTATCATACTCCTTGAAGGGGGATGCTCGTTGCCTGTGATGGGGTCTTGATCCTGGGTATTGAGCCTAACTTCCAGTTCCTTGAATCGAACCTCCTTGTCTTCAATTATCTCAGGTGTTGTGTAACATCCTCTAAATATAATAATAATAATAATAATAATAATAATAATAATAATAATAATAATAATTAAAGAAGAGCTCGAAGAAGTGTAATACTGTTATAACAGGAGTGAAGGTATCAATTGGTTAGACATTATTTAACTCTTATAAAAACAGTCAAAAGGATGACTGATGAAGGATTTTTAAAGAGTGAGGACCTCGCATAATTATTTCTGCCGCACTCAGTGGTTGCCCGTTTTCTATTAGCGAGACAGACCTTTTTATCGACTTTATCTTCAATTTTCATTTTTTTCCGTTGTGGTATGTTATAATTGGTTATAGGCGGTTAGGCAGTTGTTATGGATGGTCAAGTTGGGTGTGTCAGGTGTGGTAGTTTGTCAGTGTCCACGCTAACTACCACACTCGGCACATGAGTTGCTTGTGTGGCTTGGGGTATTGAACGACTTGGGATATCAAGTGGCTTGGGATATCGAGTGGCTTGGGATATCGAGTGGCTTAAGACGGTGGTAGTACCGTACTCAGGGTTTCCTTGCAAATGGGTTGAAGCCAGCATTTAAATCTGGAAGGGAGGGGGCCTCTAAAATGATAAGATGCACAAAGAGTAAGATAGTGTTTAAAACATGTTTTTAATTATGTATGTGAAAAATTCTTAAAATATCGTCCTCACTGGTTAGTGAAAACTAGCCATTAATTGAAAAAAAAAAAACATAAGTATTTGCCTCTGGGCTTTAGTCACCTTAGCCTTTAGTGGCTAAAGGAAGGTTGCGATTAGCCATGAGCAGTGGTTATGCAGGGTTCAAGAGGGAGCTGAACAGATACCTAAAGTCAGTGCCAGATCAGCCGGACTGTGGCTCGTACGTTGGACTACGTGCGGCCAGCAGTAACAGCATAGTTGATCAGGCCCTGATCCACGGGGAGGCTTGGTCATGGACCGGGCCGCGGGGGCGTTGATACCCGAAATACCCTCCAGGTAGGTAGGTAGAGGTGGTAGATGGCTAGGGGTGGTTATTGACCAGGGGTGATTGTTAGCCAGGGATGGTAGTTGATCGAAGATGGTAGTTGGCTAGGGGTGGTGGTTGGCAAGGAGCTGGTAGTTCACCACTTGGTGGTGATTATTCAGGTGTGGTGACACCCTAGTAGTGTTAGCTGGTCTGGGATTGTTGTTTGCAAGGGGTGGTAAGTGCCTTCAGTAGTTGGAGGCTTAGGATGGTAGAAAGCCATTTATAGATGCTGTTTGTGATGGCGAATGGCCAAGTATAAGAGGTGGCTAGAGATGATCGGTGGCCAAAAATGATGAGTGTCCAGGAAAAAATGTCGTTGGCTAAGAATGATGAGTGGCCAGGAATATGATTGTTGGCTAAGAATGAACAGTCAGAGTTTGAAGGCTGTGGCGGAGGAACAAGGGGGCTATGAAGGTAAGGGGGGAGGGAGAGAGTGAAGGTAAAATGTTGGAGTAAGGGGGTTGGGGGGAGAGAGTGAAGGCGCTTGGATGCGGTTGGTGGAGAGCTGGTTGGGGGTGGTAGGCTGCCCTGGATGGGGTTGGGGGTAGGTTTCGTTGTGTTGGTGGGGTGCAGGAGAGGTGGAGGAGCGAGGCTGGGTGTGAGGGAGTTGCGGGTGTCAGTGAGTGGCTGGCCGCCGGGCGCCCAGGATGGTCGTCTTACTGCTGTCGCTGCTCTTGTGTGTGGCTGGTACGTGTACCTGGCTGCCTCCTGCACCTGCTGTGCCACTCTCACCTTCTCTTGCGCCATATGTGCCAACTTTCAAGTTGCTTTCGTCATATTTGCGTTGTAGGGAATGCCTCTTGAGGCACCGGACAGTGATATATTCAAAGCGTTGAGTTACAAGTGATGATCCTAGTGTTATCAAGTGATGCGTCCGAATATGACGTTACAAGCGATGTTCGTAGTGTTTTCTAGCTGTACGTCTGAATGTAATGATGCAAGCAATGTTGACTAGTGTTTTCTAGTGATACGTCTGTATGTGACGTTAGAAGTGATGCTGACAGTTGTGTTTTCTAGTGATAGTATACCCGTTGTAAGTGCTTCTGATCATAAGTGTTGTCTAGTGATACGTCTGTATATGACGTTACAAACAAGTTGATCTTAGTGTTTTATAGTGATATCACTCGCTATACAATGTGTTACAAGTAATGCAGACTTTAGTGTTTCCTAGCAATATGTTGAAAAGTGTTGTAGAAAATTTCCAACCAAGACGGACTCGCAGCAATGGATTCAAGTTAAATATATTTCCATGGTGAAAGGATGGAGGATCGCACTGATTTTCCAGTAGAGTTGTAGATAAGTGGAAGAAACCCCCATGTAGTGTCACTGAAGCAAACGCTTTGAGTAGATTTTTAAAATAAGTGCATGAGTGAGAACGGGTTGGTGTAAGATCTGCCTCGCTTGGGCTGCAATGCTATATGTTGATGTTGCAAGTGAAATTTGATCTGTTACAAGTATTGCTGTCTAGTGGTATTGTGTTATTGACTGGTGCATATCCCACAACTACTTTGGCGTGTCTGGTTGTATTGCTATACTGACTCAGAGTTGTAATATGTTAACTCCGCCGCAGTGGGTCAAGTCTTGAAGTGTTGCAGCTCATGATGGGGGTTCATTTTTCTGTAGTGTTGTGATGCGTGATTTGTGTTCTTTGACACGTTGCAGGCAGTTTAAAATACTTGGCTCTGGGCATGAGAGTTATTAGTTCCTTTAGAGTCCTAAATTTGATGACCTATACACAATTTAGCATGTTTGAAATTTCTAATTTCAATTTACTTCACCCTGTTCATAAAGCAGCAAGGAAACTATTGCAATACATTGAAAATATTAAATATTCACTGATGTAAAGTATTTCCTTTTAAAGATGCAAAACACGAAGAAACGCTTAAAATATTATCGTTGAGATATAGTTAAAATACATTATAGCTTCCTCACGCAATAAAATATTTGCATGGTGCTAGTTGTGAGTCCAACGGCTTATGTACCAACAATACGCACAATAATAGTGTGTGTTGGATCTGGTGTAGGTGATGGTGGTGTAGCAAGAGGCTGAGAGCGACTAGCGTGTAGTGAGGCTGCTGGTGAAAGTGTGGCCGGCTGGCTGCGTGTTGCTCTGGCATGGTACACCTCACACTAAACACGCAAGAGTTTTATGACTAGATGTTCCAAGTAAGAGTTATGTTTCGATGTGATACATGTGCGTGATATCTGTAGAATTGTGAAACTCTTTCTCTTTAGTATTGCGTGCATATAGAGTACTTAAATTTTACCTGAGGTATTAGACCCATGTGGTTACTTATAACAAGAGGCACCAGAGGCTCGATCCTCCGTCTACTAAGCACGAGTTAAGCTCCATACGTCACTAAAATAGACCGTCAAATAAATTTTGATGAGGACACAAGAGCATTGCAGGAAAATCAGATGCATTAGTTGGATATTTGGCAGATGCAGCTCCTGGGAAAAGAAAATAACCACCGCATATTCAAGCTAATTAATGTAGATCTCAATTAAACTGAATGCGAAAAATATTTAGGCATTGTAGTTAGCAGTAAACTAAAACCTTTAAAGCTAACAGAACTCTTAGTTTCACATCAAGGAGTATAGACAAATCCTCAGGTTATTTTTCCCTTTTATATGCCCATGACAAAGCCTCATTTAGATTATATTGCTCAGAGTTCTGGTTGCCATGTTACAGAATGGACATAAATGGGCTGGATAACATAGAGAATAATGATGAAATTGATCCTATGTATCAGATATCTTTCCTACGCGGAGAGACTAAGGGCACTGAATTTGCAATCCGTGAAAAGCAGTAGAATTAGGGTATATGACTGAAATGTGCACATGGAAAACAAATAAAGCTAATATAAACAATTTGCTGAAAATATATAACCGACACACGACTGAGCAATGGGTTTAAGTTAGGCAAATTTAAGTTTACAAAAAATATAGGAAAACAGTTGTGGATAAGTAGAACAAACTGCCGAGCAACATTACTGAAGCGAGAACCCTGTGTCACTGGTATACAAAACTTCTAAGTTAATGAATTAGACACATGCAATATCTGGGGTATCTTTATTTTGTAAACGTTTTGCCATTCAGTGGCTTTATCAATACAATATATGGACATAAACAAAAGACTGTAGTAGAGGAGGTAGTCCCTCAGCCTATCAGAATTATCAGCAGAAGACAGTAGGTGAGGTGAACATAAGAACATAAGAAAGGAGGAACACTGCAGCAGGCCTGTTGGCCCATACTAGGCAGGTCCTTTACAATTCATCCCACTAACAAAACATTTGCCCAACCCAATTTTCAATGCCACCCAAGAAATAAGCTCTGATGTGAAAGTCCCACTCAAATCCAACCCCTCCCACTCATGTACTTATCCAACCTAAATTTGAAACTACCCAAAGTCCCAGCCTCAATAACCCAACTAGGTAGACTGTTCCACTCATCAACTACCCTATTTCCAAACCAATACTTTCCTATGTCCTTTCTAAATCTAAACTTATCTAATTTAAATCCATTACTGCGGGTTCTCTCTTGGAGAGACATCCTCAAGACCTTATTAATATCCCCTTTATTAATACCTATCTTCCACTTATACACTTCGATCAGGTCTCCCCTCATTCTTCGTCTAACAAGTGAATGTAACTTAAGAGTCTTCAATCTTTCTTCATAAGGAAGATTTCTAATGCTATGTATTAATTTAGTCATCCTACGCTGAATGTTTTCTAACGAATTAATGTCCATTCTGTAATATGGAGACCAGAACTGAGCTGCATAATCTAGGTGAGGCCTTACTAATGATGTATAAAGCTGCAGTATGACCTCTGGACTTCTGTTGCTTACACTTCTTGATATAAATCCCAGTAATCTATTTGCCTTATTACGTACGCTTAGGCATTGCTGTCTTGGTTTAAGGTTGCTGCTCACCATAACCCCCAAGTCCTTTTCGCAATCTGTATGGCTAAGTTCTACATCATTTAACTTGTAAGTACTAGGGTTATGGGCACTCCCAAGCTTCAGAACCTTGCATTTATCTACAATGAACTGCATCTGCCACTTTTCTGACCAAGAATGGAGTTTGTTTAAATCCTCCTGAAGTTCCATAACATCTACGTTTGAATCAATTATCCTACCTATCTTTGTGTCATCGGCGAATTTGCTCATATCACTAGTAATTCCCTCATCAAGATCATTGATAAATTAGACACATGTGCAACTCTTGGGTATCTTTATTGAGGAAACGTTTCGCCACACAGTGGCTTCATCAGTCCATACATAGGAGAAACTTGAAGAACAGGAGGAGAATGAGGTAATCAGTCCCTCAACCTTGAGTCGATGTGTTCAGTCCATCAAGATTGATGGACTGAACACATCGACTCAAGGTTGAGGGACTGATTACCTCATTCTCCTCCTGTTCTTCAAGTTTCTCCTATGTATGGACTGATGAAGCCACTGTGTGGCGAAACGTTTCCTCAATAAAGATACCCAAGAGTTGCACATGTGTCTAATTTATCAACATGTCGGTTCTCTGAACCATTCATCTACAAAGATCATTGATATATATTATAAACAACAACGGGCCCAAGACTGATCCCTGTGGAACGCCACTTGTTACAGATCCCCACTCGGATTTAACCCCATTTATGGACACTCTCTGCTTCCTGTCAGTGAGCCATGACTCGATCCACGAGAGCACTTTTCCCCCAATGCCATGAGCTGCCTACTTTCTTTAACAGTCTATGGTGCGGAACTCTATCAAAAGCCTTACTAAAATCTAAGTAAATTATATCAAATTCTTTATCGTGGTCAACAGCCTCAAAAGCTTTACTGAAGAAAGTTAATAAATTAGTTAGACAAGACCGGCCTCTTGTGAATCCATGCTGAGTATCATTAATCAAGCTATGCTTATCGAGATGGCTTCTATAAATCTGAGCTATAATTGACTAGTAATTTGCCTACAATTGAGGTCAGGCTTATTGGGCGGTAATTTGACGGTAACGACTTGTCCCCTGTTTTAAAAATAGGAATTACATTAGCCATCTTCCACATATCAGACACTACACCTGTTTGAAGAGATAAATTAAAAATATTAGTTAATGGTTCACAGAGTTCCATTTTGCATTCCTTAAGAACCCTTGAAAAAACCTCATCAGGACCCGGCGACTTATTTTGCTTCAGTCTGTCTATCTGCTTCACAACCATTTCACTAGTGACTGTATATCTGGAGTATATCTGGAGAGAGTTTCGGGGGTCAACGCCCCCGCGGCCCGGTCTGTGACCAGGCCTCCTTAGGTCAGTGTCCCAGGATGCGACCCACACCAGTCGACTAACACCCAGGTACCCATTTTACTGATGGGGAACATAGACAACAGGTGGAAAGAAACACGTCCAATGTTTCTACTCTGGCTGGAAATCGAACCCAGGCCCTCGCCGTGTGAAGCGAGAGCGTTAACCACCAGGCCACCAGAGCCTGTGATGTTACATAATTTATCTTCCTAGCCCACTATAAAAATTAATTACTGGAATATTGTTAGTGTCTTCCTGTGTAAAAACTGAGAGAAAATAATTATTAAAAATCGAGCACATTTCATTCTCTTTGTCAGTAAGGTGCCCATAGTTATTTTTAAGGGGACCTATCTTATCTCTAACTTTTGTTCTATAGACCTCGAAAAAACTTTTTG